TTTGAGTATTCAATTGATATGTTTGCAAAAAAACATTGTCTTAATAGTGATGCAATTTGAAAAAGAGAGAAAGAATTTATGTTTCTGTTTGCCAAATTCTACTAAAAAACTCATTGCTGTTGAGTTGGATTCAACTCCTAGTGACCCCTCCTTGGGTTTCTGAGGCAGTATCACTACGGAAGTAGATTGCCCAACCTTCCTTCCGAGGAGTGGCTGGTGGATTTGAACCACCAGACTTCTTGTTAGCAGTCTAATGCCTTGAGCACTACCCCACAAGAGTTCCCTTTGCCAAATTAGAAGTATGTTATTGCATACATAAAAAAGGATAGAACACATAGGTGGATTTTACAGGGCTGACATCTTGCAAGAGAAGCCAAGTAGTCCATTAAGTGCTAGAGAGGATATATATGTATTTTAAATTTACTAGAAAGGTCAAAGGATATAAACAGCCAAAATAGCTGGATATGGCTGGAAATAGACTGCTGTTCTTTGTACTGATTAACACACAAACATATCTGAAATCCCAGTAAAATTATGCTCAATGATCCAGAGAAAATACACGGAACAGGAAAAAAGGCTTGTTAGGGAAGATGTAGATTTTGAGAATTGTTGGTGAGTGTGACTGCATAATTAGATGACCAAGGGAAAGGAAAACAAGTCACTCTATTTTGAATAACTATAAAAAAACAAGTAACTTTTATTTCTATTGTTGTTGTTATGTGCTGTGGAGTCAGACCTGACTCATAGCAACTCTTCCTTGGGTTTTTGAGGCAGTATCACTACAGAAGTAGATTGCCCAACCTTCCCTCTGAAGAGTGGCTGGTGGGTTTGAACCGCCAACCTTCTGGCTATCAGTCAAGTGCCTTAGGCACTACGCTATCAGAATTACCCATTGGGTGATTGAAGTAATATAACAACAAAAGAGATGCATAGAAATAGAATTATTACTTTCAGGTCTGCTCAGAAATGTAAAGGTCATTTTACTATAGTGAGAACAGCACAGTGCAACAAAGTCTGATATTTGTGGCATTTTAAATTTAGTCAACAGTCAAATTGATATTGTGGGCCAGCCATTCAAGGGATTTTTAAGTGAAGTGATTTGTCTATAAACTACTGAATGATAATAGTTTGCTGTTTAATGCAAGTGCTGTAATGAGATAATCGGAATGTATGGAATTTGCAAATGATTGGGAAAGTGCCAAGGTAAGTTAGCAATATCTTACTACATAAATCATTAAATGACAGGCAGCAATAACAATTGTGTTTTTATATGACCATGTCCCAAGACCCTCTGTTACGGAAATTTTAATGAATCACAGGTTTTCCGCAGAGGAAAGAGTGTAATTCTCTTATTCTTCAGGGGATGGTGATGATGTTACACCAACAAACCTTTATTTTTTTCCCTTCCCATCATAAGACCTCTCCCTGTATAGTCACTGAGGTAAGTCACTGAAATTTCTTACCCTCAAGTTCATTTTCTTAAGGGAGAAGGGATGGGACACATTTTCATGCAAGCTCTATTTCTAGTTTGACAGCCATTTAATTAGTTATTTAGAATAGGACTTTTTACATCATACAACAGTCTGCATTTGCCGAGAACAATATCTGGTAGAGCTGTTACAAAGATTCAACTCTCAGACAAGGAACTTCCAGCTCGGAGTATGATGCTTCTTACTCATAACTGACTGTTACATTTTACCTGTGCATCAAGTTTCCACAAAAAGATTTAAACAACTTTCAGGTTGTTGTTGTTGTTATGTGCCGTCAAGTCAGACCCAACTCATAGCAACCGTTCCTTGGGTTTCTGAGGTGGTATCACTATGGAAGTAGATTGCCCAACCTTCCATCTGAGGAGTGACTAGTGGGTTTGAACCGCCAGCCTTCTGGTTAGCAGTCAAGTGCCTTAGTCACTATGAGTTGTCAGCTTTCTGGGCTTACTGACATCCAGTTTATATGATAAGTCAGTGACAAGACTCTAAAACAATCCAACCTCTTGTCTTTCTAAGGTCTTTACTTTTGTTTCCTTGTTTATTGTTTCTGAAAAAGCTCATTTGACTCTGGAAGTCTGACTTTAAAAAGATTATTTCTTCTTAGGAAATAGGAATCTGTGAGTGCACAGATTCCAGAATGCACTTTCCTGTCCTGTAATAGGAATGTAGACAGGAGTGAACAGTTGCACAATAATAATTGTGTGTTGCCTGAACATACAGAAAACTACTATGAAAGTAAAGCAAATAAACAGCAATGAGAAGTCTATATTTTGGATTATTTCTTTCATGTTCTCTCAGAATGTTTGAGAACCTTTTTTTCTTCATAAAATAATATTGAATTCTCTTTTTTTGATGCCCAACATCAAATCTGCTATATGTCAGTGAAAAATGGGTTCAAATTGGTCATGTTTGAGCTTTCTGCAGGATAGCTGTGAGTCAAAATTGACTGAAAGGCAAAGTTTCTTCAGGAAAAAAAAAAAAAAAGAAAGAAAAGAAAACTCCTTATCTTTTTCTTGGTCATAGACATTTGTGAGTCATTTTACCAGGGTCTATAAAGAAATTCTGGTTTAAAAGGGATTTAAGCCTGCACAGATATTGATTTCTCAACCATTGCTCTACCTTGCTGACTCCAGATAAATTCTGAGAAATTTACTCCAAAAGAAGATTATCATATGACACTCATCTCTATTTACCACATACTCTATGCCTTCATTTCACTGTAGCCTCTATCTTCTAACCTGCTATGTCTGTATCTATGATAACTCCCATGGATAATCAAAAGTTTTCCTCCTCTTTCGTATCACAATACTTCCTCCTCTCGTGATGCATCCCAATATCTCCCCATTGAATTGAAAAGCTATTTGACTCAGTTTAAAAATTGTTTTTGATGCCATGTTTGTTGTTTTCAAAAGGCACAGCTAGTTAGCTGACAATATTTTGTCCCAAGTTATCTCTATTCTATTAGGGTGAGAAAGTTGTATTTAGGATTTTTATTTTTAAATAAACCTTTTTTTGTGTGTGTTTTATTGTTGATTTGTAGAAAGGAAAAACATATAAATAGTCTACCAGAATAGAGTAGAAAGACGAGTGATCCCGAGCAATGTATTTATGTGTTTACTAAAATGTATGTAAAAGCCAATAGTAATGTTTGGTTTCAGCACAATCACAATAGCTAATTTCAGCCCATGCCCTGCAATCATGCAGTAAAATTATTGAGAATATATAAATTATAAAGTGAAAAAATAATTGTTAAAGAACAAAGGTTTTACATTCCTTTGTTGATATGTGTCATATTTCTAACAGATACTGTAGAGAGTAATAAAGTGGGGTAAGGACCCTAGAGCCAAACTGATGAATGGGTATTATCTGAACAGATTCAAGAGAGAAGTAAGAACACTTGGTAGATGTGAGGAGACATGGGGAAGTTGGTGTTCGCACACACAAAGGGATGGGTTTTATAACTGCTTAATTGCAAAGAAGCAGGACACATTCTGATAGAGAAACATCTGTGGTTGTTGTTATGTGCTGTCGAGTTGGACCCTACTCATAGCGACTCCTCCTTGGGTTTTTGAGGCGGTATCACTATGGAAGTAGATTGCCACATCTTCCTTCTGAGGAGTGGCTGGCGGGTTTGAACTGCCAGCCTTCTGGTTAGCAGTCAAGTGCCTTAGCCACTATGCTACCAGAGCTCCTAGAAAAACATCTAGAAGTTTGCAAATACTTCAAGGTAGATGCTTGTACAAGAGGAACAGACAAGCTCACATTTAATATGAACATCTAGTTTTCTGAGAACGGCATGAATTATCAGTGGTCTTTAAAGTGGTAGGATACAGTAGGGACACAGAAAGCAATATTTTCAAGGGTCTAAGTACCTTAGCCTATGGCATGCTCAGGACACTGTGCATTATTAGTTCTGGGTAAAGGGACAAAAAGCACCTATACTAAGAGGTACTTTCAGCTGCCAAATCCAAAGTTTACTTCACACCACTGGTTTAGGGCACATGATTTTGAGTTTTATTCCACATTGTTCTCCCACTCTATCCAGGATCTCATACATAGATGAGATGTCATCCAAGTAGATGACAGGGGTAGCTAGGCACCACCTAGTTTTTCTGATCTCATAGTCCTATAGGTTGAGAATCACATGGTATACCAGTCACTTGGACTAATTATTTCCATGCATCTTTGGTTTTCTTCATTCTTCTTTGCTCTGGACAAGGAGAGATCCATTGATGCAACTAGATGATTGCTTACAAGCATTTATGATCTCAGTTACTACTTGCCAAAGTAGGATGTCAAACAATGTTTTTGTGTAGTATGTTATGCCAACTGAGTTTGATGTCCCCTGTAACTATGGTCCCAAGCCCACAGGTCCAACTTCTCACTCCGTCTGGGTAGCTGGCTGTGGCCAAAGAGTGACTACAACCTTGTCCGTTGTCAGCTCTACTATAAACCTGGAAATTCTTACAGAACAGACAAATATACTTGCAGAAACAAATAAGTCACAGAAACTCTAAGCAGTTGTTTTTTAATTAATATCAAGCATACAAAATATATTTTAATCATTCAATGTAATTACTTTACACTATTTTTAATGTGATGAGAAATATTTATTTTTCTCCTGGAATTGAAAATGGCTTAAATAAAACTTATTTTTTTTTTGTCTTTATATGGAATTATTTGAGGTTACCCTTTTCTATAACTAGAAAGACATATTAACATAAAGGATTAAATTTGATGGTGTTGGAAGAAAGTGATTTCTAATTTGTTTCCTATACCAGATGATGGTATTTATTTATATATTTACTCTTTATTTTGGAGAGCATGAGAAGACAGCTAAGAAATAAAGAAATGATGCATTTATTTAGCATGTACACATTAGGGGAATGGGCAGATCTAACTTACTACATTGCTGTACATTTTTGGGGAAATGACATTGCCACTCATTTAATTTTATACATATGTCATCTTTCACAGCTATGCCTCAGCAATCTGGAGGCTACTTTACAAATGGGGATAATGAGAAGTATCAATGATAGTAACCTGGCAGGTTTCATCCTCTTGGGCTTTTCTGAATATCCTCAGTCAAGGAAGATTCTGTTTGTCATCATCTTGATCTTGTATTTACTAACCATCTTTGGTAACACCACCATTATCTTGGTGTCTCGTCTGGAACCCAAACTTCACACACCCATGTATTTCTTTCTTTCTCATCTCTCCTTCCTGGACCTTTGTTTCACCAGCAGTGTTATTCCTCAGCTCCTCATAAACTTGTGGTACCCCCAAAAAATCATTACCTATGGTGGTTGTGTGGTTCAACTCTATGTGTCCCATGCATTGGGATCCACTGAGTGTGTCCTCCTGGCAGTGATGTCCTATGATCGCTATGTTGCCATATGTCGTCCCCTCCATTACACTATCATGATGCATCCCAATCTTTGCATGATGCTGGCTTCTATGGCATGGCTCAGTGGACTGACCACAACCTTAGTGCAGTCCACTCTCACTCTGCAGTTGCCCTTCTGTGGTCATCACCAAGTTGACCATTATATCTGTGAGGTCCCTGTGCTCATCAAGTTGGCCTGTGTGGACACCACTTTCAATGAGGCTGAGCTTTTTGTGGCTAGTATCCTCTTCCTTATAGTGCCTGTCTCATTCATCCTGGTTTCCTATGGCTACATTGTCCAAACGGTTTTAAGAATCAAGTCAGCTTCTGGCCGACAGAAAGCATTTGGAACCTGCTCCTCCCACATTATGGTCGTCTTTATCTTCTATGGTACCATCATCTTCATATATCTGCAGCCAGCCAAGAGCAGATTCAAGGATCAAGGAAAATTTGTTTCCCTCTTCTACACTGTCGTCACCCCCATGCTTAACCCTCTTATTTATACTCTGAGAAATAAAGAGGTTAAAGGGGCTCTGAAAACAGTTCTAAGGAAGATTCTGAAAATGAGTTTTCTATGATTATCAACGCATTCTTAAAAGTGATACTGTGATAAATAATTTTTAAAATAACTTATTTGAACTATTTTCTCTCAATTTCTTTGGGGTAATTCCTATACTTCATTTAACATTCTTTAAAATATTATCAATATATATTTCTAGTTCTGACATTGCTATTACCTAGTAGTCACATAAGGCAAAACATTGAATCCATCTATGCTTTAGTGTTTTCTCTGAAGAACATGTTATTTAAGAGATATATATAAGATTCTTCAATAGTTACAATCTTTACAAAATTAAAATGAACATGAAAATATTCAAGAAATTCATAAAGCAACTCAGATTCTCTTTCCTTTTTTCAGCAATAATACATTCAATCTCAGGGTTCTCAAATCTCTAGATACATATGTTACTTATTTTTTACCAAAGATTCAAAGTATGAAGTAGCTGGGATGTATATATTTTGGGAAAATTGTGATAAAGCAAGATATTCCACCTGCTTAGAATTTTGAAGAGCAGTGTGAAGGTACAAAAAATAAATGAAAACAAAAACATGGGGGTTATATTTGTACCTTAAATATAGTAGATAAAGCAGTTGGAAAGAGCTTGGCTCTCTGATTATGTAGTGAAATGAGTGAATCAGTCAAAACTGCTTAACATCAGGCTCTATTTCCTAAGAAAATCACAACTGGAAAATTTTCTATGGCCTAAAAAACATTTGCAATTAACAACATTTACTTTTGAAACCGTAAGCCTACATTCTTTACACAAAAAAAGCATATACTTTATTTTATTAATTCTATTTTTGGTGATAATATGCAAAGCAAAAAAAAAATCCATTTGAACTATTTCTACATGTATTATTTAGTAACATTAATAACATTCTTCCAGTTGTACAGTTATCACTATCGTTTTCAAAATTATTTGACCACCATTAAGATAAAGTTACTGCCCATGAGCTTCTCATTTAAACAGTTGCAGCTGTCAGTTTGATTTAACATAGATAACTCTTTAAAGGACCACAATGCTTGGAACAGATATACTTTAGTACTTAAGTAAAACTATTGTTTGGTTCAAGGAAAACTTCATGGAATAATTTTGGTTTATTTAAAGCTTAAAGATTATCTAGAGGAATATTTTTGGCTTTATCCAGCCTTACTGGCATCAGGTGTTCTGGATTCCATTGCTAATTTGAGATTCATTTCCACATTTTTACCCTTTTGATCAGGATTCTTCTATAGAATCTTTGATCAAATTTTTCAGTAATGGCGGTGGGGGACCATGAAGACCATGTATCTCTTGCTATAGAAGGAAACTGTTTGTGGAGGTAATCAGGCATACATACCATTCTGTCCTCCAATCCCTAAATATCCTTCCTTTGCTATTCTAGGTGAATGGAGACCAATTGTTTTATCATGAATGTCCATAAAACATTCTTTTCAAATTTTGTGATTTTTCTTCCAGATAAAACATGAATCAAACTACTTTTTTGTATTTGCACTGTAACACTTAGATTTTTTTCCCAAGATTTCATCCTAAATGGTCTTTTTACATACTATATTGCATTTCCTATCCACCCAGTGGCACCTTGTAAGAAAAGTACTGGCAGTGTATCTGCTTCTGAAGGTTGCAGCCAAGAAATTCACAGGAGCAAGTCTCCATTGTAACACATGGGATTTCCATAAGTCATAATCGACTTTATGGCAGAACACAATAAAAAAATTCATTTTCTGAAAATAAGGAATTTTGCACCTTGATATGGAAATTTTGTGTAACTGCATAGTATTATATTTTTTATTTTACTGCATTGTAACAGGAGTTAGATTGTGTAGTATGCTGTAAACAACATTTTGTGTTCGAGTCACATACAAATGAAAATATATTCAGTGAGTTGAGGAAGAACATTGTGGGAGATTCTTGTAGGTCTATATCAGTAATCATTTAAAATGAAAATAAAGAAGTCAGGAAATGAACCACCATTTATAACCAATTGGACAGAAAGGCACAATTAGGAAAATAATGCACTACCTCTCTTCTATCCTTTCAGTATTGAAAATATTAACCTCCCAATCATTTATTAACTTATTTATCACAGTTTGCATGGCACATACTCAATGGCCAATTCTGTGGAAGTTGTTAATTATAGTAATAAAACAAAGAAGAAGAGGCATATGCCCACATGGAATTTATTACTACTATTAATAATGGTCACCACTCTTCTGTCAGTTTGTCATAGTTTGGTGACTTGCATGTTGCTGTAAGGATGGAGGTTATACCATGGGTATTTCAAGTAACAGGGTCACGCTTGGTTCACAGGTTTTAGTGGAGCCTCCAGAAGAAGACAGACCTGGTAGCAGAGCAGAGCCATCCACTTCAGAAAAAATTCTGGCCACTGAAAACCTTACAAATAACAGTGGAACACAGTCTGATATATTACTGGAAATCTTTATGAATAACTGTGAAATATTTTCTGATATAGTGCCAGAAAGTGAGCCCCTCAGGTTGAAAGGAACTCAAAATATGATTAAGGAAGAGCTGCTTCCCCAAACCAGAGTCAACCTTAATGACTTCAATGGAGTAAAGCTTCCAGGACCTTCATTTGCTGGTGGTGCACAACTCAAAATGGAAAGAAACAACTGCAAATATCAATTAATAACCAGAACATGGAATGTACAAAGTATGAATCTAGGAAAATTGGAAGTAGTAAACAATGCAATAAAATGCATAAAGATTGATATCCTTGGCATCAGTGACTTGAAATGTACTGTATTGGTCATTGTGAATCAGACAATCATACAGTAATGACAAGTTGAAGAGGAATGAATTTGAATTCATCCGCAAAAAGAACATTTCAAGGTCTGTCTTGCAGTACAATTCTGCCAGTGATAAGATAATATCCATATGCCTAGCGTAGTGCCTGTGAGCTCTGGTAGTGTAGTGCCTAAGGCACTTGACTGCTAACCAGAAGGCTGGTGGTTCAAACCCACCAGCCACTCCTCGGAAGGAAGATTGGGCAATCTACTTCCATAGTGATACAGCCTCGGCAACCCAAGGAGGGGTCACTATGAGTCAGGTCCAACTCAATGGCACATAACAATGCAACACAAGGAAGATCAGTTAATACTATTGTTATGTGTCGTCGAGTCAGACCTGACTCATAGCAACTCCTCCTTGGGTTTCCAAGGCAATAGCACTATGGAAGTAGTTAATATTAGTATTATTCAAATTTATGCAGTAACCACTAAAACCAAAGATGAAGAAATTAAAGATTTTTTATCAATTTCTGCAGTCTGAAATTGACCAAACATGCAATCAAGATGTACTAATAATTATTGATGATTGGAGTGCAGAAGTTGGAAACAAGGAAGAGTCATCTGCAGTTGGAAAATATGGCCTTGGTGATAGAAATCACAGCAGAGATCTTGCATGATAGAATTTTGCAAGACAAACTATGTATTCATCACAAATACCTTTTTTCACCAACATAAATGGTCTCTATACACATGGATATTGACAGATGGAATACACAGAAATCAGAATGATTACAAGTGGGGAAAGAGGCGATGGAGAAACTCAATATCATTAGTCAAATTAGGAAAGGAGCTGACTGTGGAACAGATCAATTGGTTAAATGCAAGTTCAAGTTGTAGCTGAAGAAAATTAAAATGCATTCATGAGAGCCAAAATATAACCTTGATTATATCCCATCTGAATTTAGAGACCATCTGAAGAATAGATTCGACACACTGAACATCAGTGACCAAAAGCCAGATGAGTTGTGGAATAACAAGTCAACTTTGGGCAAAATATTGAACAATGCAGGGAGCATAAAAAGAACATGGAAGGAATCCACAGAGTTGCAGTATTAAAGAGAATTGGTAGATGTCCAATTATTTCATAAAGTAGTATATGATCAAGAACCAATGGTATTGAAGGAAGAACTCCAAGCTGCATTGAGGAACTGGCAATAAACAAACCTCCAAGAATTGACCCATTGATCTGTTTCAACAAACTGATATAGCACTGGAGGCACTTACCCATTTATGCAAAGAAATTTGGAAAAAACTACCTGGCCAACTGACTGGGTGAAATTGATATTTGTGCCCATTCCGTAGAAAAGTGATCCAATGGAATGTGGAAATTATCAAACAATATAATTAATACCACATGCAAATAAAATTTTACTGAAGATAATTCAAAAAATCTTTGCCATAGTATATTGATTGGGAACTTCCAGAAACTCAAGCCAGATTCAGAAAAGGACATGAAACAAGGGATATCATTGCTGATGTCAGAAGACTCTCAGTTGAATGCAAAGAATATGAGAAAGATGTTTACCTGTGTTTTATTGATTATGCGAAGGCATTCAACTGTATGGCTCATAACAAATTATAGATAACATTGTGAAGAATGGGAATTCCTGCACACTTACTTGGGCTTATCAGGAAATTGTACTTTGAACAAGAGACTGTTTTTCCAACAGAAAAAGGGGATGCTGAGTGTTTAAATTCAGGAAGGCTGTGCATTAAGGTTGTATCCTTTCACCATACTTATTCAATCTGTATGCTGAGCAAATAATCTGAGAAGCCATACTATATGAAGAAGAATGCAACTTCAGGATTGGAAGAAGACTTATTAACAACTTGTTACATGCAGATGACACAACCTTGCTTACTGAAAGTGAAGATGACTTGAAGCACTGATGAAGATTAAAGACTACACTCTTCAGTATGGATTACACCTCAACATAAAGAAAAGGAAAATCACAACTAGATCAATAAGCAGCCACAGGATAAATGGAGAAAAGATTGAAGTTATCAATGATTTCATATTATTT